TCTTACTTACCATCCTCAGCGTTATAAGGATCTGTAAAGACACTCTCTTGAGACTGATCCCTTGAAATTTCATCTAACATTCCCTCCATATCTTCTTTTCGACTCGCAGTATCGTGTTTTTGTAGTTGTTGCAGTTGTGCGTGTGCCATACATGAACTGAATGACTTATAACTAACTATATATCCTATTAGAACCGAAGAAGCTTTAAATCACAAAACATTAATATATATCATTCATTAAAAGTCTGTATAGCTAACGTGTACTTACACAATACCGATAATGCAACTTTGTTCGATGGTAGTTTTAGAACTCTCTTCGACAGAATGCCTATGGTTCAATGGAACATTATCAATTAAAAAAGAGACGAATTATCCATAACGATAATTAAACTAAGCCCTTACCTGTCAATATTCCTCCACAAACACCACCATAAAATCCATCCATCTTAGATTTTTGTTGGCATACTTTTAGTGGGACAAGCTTCTTTTGATATATATAAAATTCTTAAAAATTTGACTTATAAATCTTTTTTTCTTTTTTTAATTTCATACTTGCCGGACGTTTTTCTGCTATTCCTTTTTGTATGTCTGTTAATTTTTCCATTATCGTTATTAAATATGATTTTAAAGAATACCAAAAAATTTAAACTAACAAACATAAAGTTATCTGCAATAAAATTTTGAAAATTTTTATATCAACCAATTATAGGGCAGATCTTTTATATAATAGTTCAAACATCTAGATATTTATAATTGCACACTCTCTATAAGTAAACACCTTTTTTACATTTAATTTTTTGATTTCAAGCTTGAACAATAATAAATACACTTCTCCATATTTTATATAGGTAGATTAGTGGTGCCATAAAAATGTCTCTGTCATGTGATCTCAGACCACCAGTCAAAATGCATGCAATCTAATAAATTTATTAAATACCGAGTTTTTTGAGGCTACTGTCTAAACTACATTTCATTCAATTGGGCAAACATAGCATAACATCATGTACGAAGTTTAGATTATTGCCAATACATATAATATAAGGTAAGTATGGGTATTGTGGTAGAATTAAGAGAAAATTTGGTATGACTCATGATCTATTGGTCCAAATTGAATGATTGTGGTACCATTCGATTCGTCTCAATAAGACAAATTGAATGGTTTCAAACTTATTCAATTTAGATCACAGGATTACGAGTTATTTACAATCGCATGTTATACAAAATTGGAAGTAGGATTGTGAAGGATGATCTATCAGTCCAAATTAAATGATTTTTATACCATTCGATTCATCTCATTGAGACAATTCGAATGGTATAAAAATCATTTAATTTCGATCACTGGGTCATGAGATATTGTGTTTGAATATAATATATTAATTTTTTTAAAAAAATAATGTATTATATTCGGATGCCAATATCTCGTGACCCAGTGATCAAAATTAAATAATTTTTATACCATTTGATTCACCTCAATAAAACGAATCAAATAGTAAAAAATCATTTAATTTGGACTGATAGATCATGAGTTATTACAAATCTGCCACAATACCCATACAATGTAATCATAATTCGCACCGATATGTATGAGTGATTATGCTTGGTAAGTGTCCAAAAATTTTACCATTTCGTGTAACCCGAGCTTCCGGACTCAATAAATTATGCCCGAAAATCACCAAATTTTTAGCCAATTTTACTAATAAACCCGCTAACTGATGTACTAAGTAAAGTTGCTCGGATTGTAATTTTGCTATTAGTTAGCTTGTATTAGGCTTGTATTAGTGCTTCTCAGGTCCGTTCCGAAGTCCGAATCTGAATCGTCGGATCGAGTTCCGGAAGTTCAGGTTACACGAAAGGGTAAAGTTTTTTGAACATCACTAACTTACTAGATTATGCTAGAGGGTTTGACCCGTCTGACCCGAGTTAAAGCAAATTTTGATCCATAACCTGTCAAGAAGCCGTCCCGACGGTTCTAGGTCGCACAACCAAAATTAAGCAGATCGGCCAAAATCTAGGCTGGCACTAAGCAATAATACCAACCAACCATAAAAATTAGCGTCTGGGCAATTTTACTTGGTACCTGGGATACTGCTTTATCTGAATTTTGGTTGTATTACTAGGGTTGAAAATTACATATTACAATCTTACATTTCAATGTAATTTTGCGTAAGTTTCAATAACATGGATTTTACACGTGATATAAATTACCAGGCTATAGATATAGGATAACTTTCTCGTGATTGGTCGATCAGTGAAATTAAAATAATTCGCTATGATTGGTCAGATGATATAAA